AATATAAAAACATTCTGTAATTTAAGGATGGATTATATTATAATATAATTATTAACACACAACAGGTCTTGTTTATCAATATTTTCGTCTCTCCAAACATACAACTAGGTGTCATAGAATTTAAATTTAGCGATTRATCTATAATACTCTATACTCTGTAGTCTGTACTACTACAGAGCATGGCGATTATGTGACCYCCACCCAACAAACATCACCCTATCATTTTGATAGGTTCAAATCAGTTCTAATATAGAAGGATGTCACGTGGGGATCTGTAGATAAACGGATTTTCTTCAGGTCTTAGCGTGTTCGCTACGTACATAATATTATGTTCTCTCACTGGACAGAGTTTAGTAATGCAACATTTTTTTTTATTTTTTTCAAAAAATTGAAGTGAAACGACTTTTTAATTTTCATGTATTTATTTTTAGAGAAATTTAAACAAAAATATGGTTGATTTTAAGTAGTTTTGATAAAAATTTAAATTTAATTTCAGAATTATATTACAGTTTCACGAGATCAATTAGTGCGTTGGAATTGAAACATGAGTTAAATTCCATGTTTGCGTGTGTTAATAATATTATAGACTGAAAATTAACATTTCCGATTTCATCAAAAAATTAGGTGTATTATCAAAACATTGTAAATATTATTTACAGACCACTAATGAAATGATTATATCATACACAAATATTTTCTAATTTTTTGTTTTAATTTCAGTCAATTCGGTGARTTATAGTCTACTGTAATTAAAAATCGTTTTAAAAATCAACTTTTACTAAATCATAATTTTAAAATTCAGTGTTATTTTTTTATATCACTAATAATCCTGGCAGTACTTTGACAAGTATTCTGAATACTAAGAAGGAAATTAAAATATTATAAATTTTCATAATATTATCCTTTACTTTAATATTAACTAAGTAGGTATGAATATAAGTAATATGATGATGTAAAATGACGCCGACACAACTAGCGCCAAACTCTAATCCTAAGTGTATTAAGCTACTTAGATTGTTAAAAAAAAATTCATTGAAAAAGTTTTAAAATAAGTGAAAATCACAAATGTATAATATGCCACTATTTATAGGTAGGTAGGTATTTTTGTAATAAAATGATCACATTCACAATTCATGATAATCGACAATCATAAAAATTATAAAATAAGATATCAATAAATATTTAATAATAATAATAATAATAATAATAATAATAATTAATGAGTACCTTATACACGCCTGGTATTATTAAACGTGATTTATATAGACTAAAATATATTCTAGATAAAACAAAAATTCAAAATTAACTTAATTAGTAATATTAAAAAAAGTAGAAGTTGATTTCTACGTCTAAGTTAACGTAGATAAAAATAAGTTAAATTATTATTAAAATAAGTTACCTAAACTAATAAGTAGGTATAGTAGTAAGTATTGCTATTAAGTTAAAATTAACTTAACTTTTAACTTATTAACTTGTTAATGCCCAGCCTTGGAAATAAGTAGGTATATAGACTTTAAGTACACAAGTKTACAAGACATGTATTACCTAGGTACCTCGTCTTAAGTAGATTAGTTGAATAGACGTGTTAATATTCGAATTCAATAATGTTTTATTGCGTACGATAAGCGATTCTAAACGGAGATTGCCTGTCAAGCTAAATGTCCAAGGATATTTTATTATATTTTAATATTTCTATTCTTATACTTACATTTCTACAATAGCAATACAGTTAAAATACATTTTTGCAAATAATATTATATATAAAATATAATATTACAGTAATGTGTAAGTATATTAAAATTATTACTTAATATAAAACCATAACTTATAAGTCTGCAATAACACGTTGCTGTCTTATGAACAAGTTATGGTATAAATAGTACCTATACAATTAACCTTAACCTAAATATTTTGAAAACTTTATTATTTATTAAAAATAATACACTACTTTAAAGTAAAAAATGTCGATTAACTTAGTTATGCTAAATTGAAACCAAAAAAAAAAACCAAAAATTATTATAAATCGTTAAACTGTTAAATTTAATTAACTGTAGTTGAATTTCAAATGCCTATAACAATTTTTATTTTCTTAATTTATTTAGAGAATAACTGTAGTGTATTTGTACTTTTAAACATTTCTTTTAAAGCATTTTTGCTGCTCTAAAAACTAATTATGATAAAAAAAAAAAGTGAATAACACTGATCGTTGTCTGCGGTATGCAACTCAAATAGTAGATAGTACAAAGTGTATATTTTTTACTAAATTATATGCATTATGGACAATGAAAACGTACATACATATATAGGATGTTYCACGGGGATTTACCGATGTTTTTTTATTAGACTCACATAGACAACAGCTTCATGTACTTTATTATTAATTTAATAACATTTTTTTTGTAAAAAAGTTTAAAAAAAGTTATTTTTTAATTAAAAAAAAAAAAAATAGATTTCTATTATATAGAGTTTATTATGCTGAATATGTTGACCTTTCAACATTTATTTACATTAATCTCATGGTTTTTAATATTTCTTTTAGTTTATAGATAAAAAGGCAAAAACTGGTTTTTATCCGGGCGGCGCGCCCCTCCACGGCTAATGGGTGGGTATATCTCACGGGAAACCCTGCATAATAACTCTGTATCCAGGGTGTCCTACAGAGATCTGACATTCTGACAAATTAAATAACTTTTGTGCTAATCAATATTTTTTAAAAATTTCTTTTAAATATAATCCATAAATACTTGCGCTACATTTTTAGAATACATTATTTATAATGCTGAAAATAAAAAACTTAAAAATTGATAAATTTTTTTTTTTAAATATTCAATATAGCCAATTTGTAAATTTGATTTTTAGAAAAATATATATGGTAAAAACAAAAATTTAAGTCAAAAGGCTGATTTTTWACAATTTTTTTAAATATCAATATTTTCGTTAGGTAAATTATAGTAATTTATAGTTTATACATCACATATTATTAAAATAAATACAATAAAAAAAAT